ACTGTGAAGATTCTGAGTTTTTTTTTTTTTAATTCATTTATTAACTACAGCTGTCCGGAAGGGAAAAAAGGGAGCAATTTGATTCGGAGACGAATCGCCGACTATCGAGAGACAGCAAAACTTGGACTTTATTGTCATTATTCTGTAATTTAATTTAGGTGTGACATCAGGACACCTCATGGCTGGAAGTGTGTTATCCAGGCCTAAACTTTTACGGTTTTATTTCATAGAATTCCAGAAGGTTTGGGTTGGAAGAGACTTTAAAGCCCATCCAGTGCCACCCCCTGCCATGGGCAGGGACACCTTCCCCTATCCCAGGTTGCTCCAAACCCCGTCCAACCTGGCCTTGGGACACTTCCAGGCACAGAGCAGCCACAGCTTCTCTGGGCAACCTGTGCCAGGGCCTCCCCACCCTCACAGGTGAATTTTTTTCCTAATATCTGATCTAACCCTACCCTCTGTCAGTTTGAAGCCATTCCCCTTTGTCCTCTCACTTCAGGCCCTTGTAAAAAATCTCCTTCCACCTTCCTTGCAGGCACCCTTTGGGTACTGGAAGGCCAAATTAAGTCATCCAGGCTGAACAATCCCAATTCTCTCATCCTTTCATCCCACAGAGGTACTTTCTCAAGTCAAACCAAGCAGCAACACATCTCTCACGTTAACTACACCGGCTCATTTTTCACTCCAAGCCCACTGTTTCCTTCCCTGCCCACACCAAACACACTCAGAAGCCTCGTTACATCTAAATGTGCCACCCAGGGATCTTGGTACTAACAGGCATCAGACAAGCTGCAAACGCACACAGTGAACTCCAAACTTCAAAGAGTAGGTGGGAAAAACCACAAATTAGAGCCTGCTGACCTTCCTGTGACTCATAAAGCAGCACAGCAGCCGTTCTCAGCGGGCCAAATTCAGTGCCCTGGAGCCTGAAGTGGGAACAGCAATTGCCGTTTACAGAGTGAGTAACGGGGTGATTCTAACACAGCCCGGCACACTTTGAAAGGGCTTTCTGTGCCTATTCAGCCACAGTTCAATAGTTAAAGCCCATCTATCCTCACAGTAAGAACTCCTAAGTTCGTTTTAACTCTACCACAGGTGCAGGCAACAGGTACCTCTGACCCCAGTGGGAAGCAGCAGATGGCTGGGGGGGGTGGGTAGGAAGGGAAACAGTGTTGAACTGGTTCCAAGCAGGTTCAAACTGTCACAGAACCAAACATGTGAGTCATTTTGCAACCACCGCTGTAATTCTATCTAAGGCTGCCTCTTGGGAAACAGAAAGGCACTTACATTTCAATACAGTCCTCTCTGCCAGGCTGGGCTGGCAAATGTGTACGAAATCCCTCGCTAACGTCAAAAAAAACGGCTTGTGGAAGGAGGGAAGTTGTAAGTGAAGATCTTGAAAAGGTATAAAATACAGGTACTCCATCGTTCCTGGCACGTAGGAAACGCTGGTTAAAAGGCACGCACGGCATTCAGCAGGATAACGTGATAAACATCCACAGAAGTTACTGATTGAAGCTACAGGAGTCACTGTCATATGATGCCACATCCAGTGCCAGGGTGCCCAAAAAGAAAAAGGGCCAAGCGCACTCCGTAAAACTCACGAAGAGAAACCTGTATGTAGCACCGGGTGCTATCTGTGAAACCAACGGGGCTTTATCTGTATCAAAACCACCTTCCCAGCACGCACAGCAGAGCCAAAACCAGCATAAAATACACCGAGCAAGATATCAAGGGCACCGGGGGGTGTTGACACAGCATTAAGCCAGAACTTAATCCCGCCAGCACCGACCCAACAAAGAGAAAGACTTCGTGCCCCTACAGCAGAAGCCGCACAGAGACGGGCACCAACCACAACTTCCCTAAAGAAGGCAGGAGGCGAAACAGGTGGCCGAGCGGGAAGGAAAAAACAAAAAAATATTAAAAACGGCGGAACAAACAAACAAACGAACGCGCGAGTGGCTCGACTCGCGAAACCGGGAAGTTTTCCGAGCGGCGGACGGGAGCCACCTTTGTCCCCGTTCGGGGATGCGGCAGCGCCCCTTGTGCGGGCCCTGGGCGAGCGGGGCCGGGGCAGCGGCCGGAGGGGCCGGCGGGGACACGGCGCTGTGCCCGCACCGAGCGGCGCCCGCCGCGCCGTTATGCGGGAGGCGGCCCGCAGGGACGGGGAAAAGGGGGGACGGGCAGGGGGAACAGAGGGGGACGGCAGGGGGAAAGGAAGGGAGGGGAAGGGTCCGCCGCGCCCGCTCGCAGCCCGAGGCCCCGCTGCCCGCGCCCGTCCCGCCCCGGCACTCACGTCGAGAGCTTCCTGGTCCAGAAGAGCCCGCCGGGCCAGAGCTCCTGCAGCTGCACGGCGCGGGCCAGGTTGCCCTTGATGTGCCGCAGGAAGCGGGCGGCCTCGGCCTCCAGGCGCTCGCCGTAGGGCAGCAGCTTGTTGTAGACGATCTCCTTCTGCGGCGGCCGGGCCATGTCGGCGCTGCCTGCCCCGGGAGGGCCGGTGGTGACCGCGGCCGCCGCGCCCCGCCCGCCCCGCTCCGCTCACTTCCGCCGGAAGGGGCCGCGGGGCGGCTCCGGGAGCGCCGGGGCAGTGGCACCGCCGGGACGGGGCAGTGAGACTGCTGGGACCGGGCAGTGGCACCGCCGGGACGGGGCAGTGTGACTGCTGGGACAGGGCAGCCCCTGCGCGGGGGAGGCGCCCGCCCGGGCTCGGCGCTCCTGCGGGTGTTTCCAGAGCCCTTCGCCCTGGAGGAGCCGCCGCCCGCCCGCGTAATTCGGGGAGAACCTTCACCCCCCGGGGATGAGCCGCCGTGCCCGCCGGGGCTCCGGGCAGCGCTGGGAGCGCCCCCGGGACACGGCCCGGGGTGACACGGCCCTGCCGGGTCACAGGTGGCGCCCGCTGAGAGCTCGCGGGTCTCTCCCGGCCTAATTGATGCGGCGGTTCCGTAATTAGCCCCGCGGGTTTGATGGCAGATTGCGCGGCCGCCTAAGAGGCTTATTTGAAATAATAACAGCGCCAGTCGGGAGGGCAGAGCTCGCCCGCGGGCCGTGGGTGTGGGATAAACGCTGATGGATATGTGATAACGCCGCCGGTACTGCTGATAGCTGTTATCTCCAGCTGTCCTCGGTGGAATTGTTAATTGAATTTCCCCTCAAGAATTACGTCGTGGCCATACGACAGCTGCAAACTGATTAGATTTAAAGCTACTGACAAGGGCAAATCCTGTTTTATGATCTTTATGCTCAAACTAGCTCTGCTTAAAATTAAAAAAAAAAAAAGGCTAACTAAATGCTGGAACTAGGCTAACTAAATGCTCCCCCCCGTTAGGGGGAGGAGAGATGCCCCAGGAAACCTAAATATGACAAGCAAAGGGATCATCACAGCATTTTCCTGAGGAGTGCACTCACACCGTCTGTACTTCTCACCCTCCCAGACCTGTGTCTTTAATAAAGGGAGCTCAGTAATTTCGTTCAGCGTCCCAGACTTTTGAAACACCCCTCCATTCCTAGAAGAGCTCCTATCACGTGATCCTGGAGAATACACATCAACTTTTACATGATTACAAAATAGCTGGAGTTTGTTATCATTTTCGTTGTGATTTGGAGGGTGTTTGCTGCCATCTCTCACAGGGACTTTACGATTCTGTTGCCTCATTTCCACGTGAGGCAAAACAATTCTCTGCCCTTTTCTGGCCTCAGTTACAAATGAAAATTGATCGCGGTCAAATTTCTGTGGGGATAAAGAACACCTTGGTTTAGTGTTTTGCTGGTGAAAACAACAGGCAAAATTAATATGAAATTAATAGTTTTATCACCAATTCACACAAGGATAAATTGGATAACTGACCCAGAAGCTGTAATAAAAACCCAATATCTGTGGATAAGTGAAAATATGCATGTATTGAAACTGAAAAGTCTAAAATTACCTATTTTCTGTCACACTCAATTCTTAATATTTAATATGCAATTGCAATGGTGATTTGTTCAAACAGACATTTCCAGTGGAGGGAAGTGTTTTGTAAATTCGAAGGAGGTAGAGTTTGTTTGGACTGGGAGGAAAATAAAATCCAAATTATACTCCAGTTGTCTGCAACTGAAGTTGGCAGATACATAAGGAACTTCAAAGCTGCATTCTGTTGCTTCATAGCCACGTTATAAAAAAATACTCCTCCCCTTTCTGACTCAGGTTGAAACTGAAGCTTGATTTTTTTCACACATTTTGGAGTATTTTGCAACGTGAGTGAGCACCTCTGACCTCAGGGAGCATATTTTGTCTGAACCAACAAGCCACCTCCTCACCTGTGACCTCAGACACACAAATGGCTTCCACCAGGATGAAACACTTACCTGTTGGGGGAAAACATGCCAAGTGTACACTTCAGACTGTCATCCTACTAACTCCTCCTCCTCAGGAATATGACTTCTCTTTTCAGAGTTTGAAACAAGGGAAAAGGAGATCCCTAGTCTACTCACAGTTACAATAGTAAGCAGACATAGAGTACTTGCATTTTGAATGTATTTCCTGCATATTGATCAATTTAATAAATTACGTTTAATAATTATTTTAAAAACTTATCCTTTCCCTCTCTTCATTATGCTGCCTTTCTGCTTTATAAAGTGGGTACAAAAATGATAAATTTTGCCAAGTGAGTCAAAAATAACCATGTTCTTCGAGTTTGCAATGTGTTTTGGCTGCAGCAGTGTGTGAGAGCACATTTGGTTCCCGAGTCACATGATGGAGGACGGGCCTTTCATAACACAGGACCTGTCTGTGCTTCTTGCATCAACAACTTTTTCCTCTCTTATCAAGTAGGAGGAAGAATGTGAGTTGCCAGCAACCCAAATGTGGCTGCCACCTGTTGGTTTTGGCACTAAATCCCGAGAGCTGATGAAGCTGGGCGTTGTAGTTGAAAAGAAAATACAACCTTTCCATTCATGAGCAGTTTTGGGTGGTGACAGTGGCTCAGGGCATGCTGGGGTTGTTCACACGTTCCCTCCTCGGCCAGTGCCTGGGGGAGCCAACACCAGCACTGGCACAGGGATTTGGGAACTTGTCACTCAGCCTTAACCCTGGTTCCCACTGTCTCAGCTCTTTTCTTACAAAGGAGCCCTGGCACAGTTTTCCCAGAGAAGCTGTGGCTGCCCCATCCCTGGAAGTGTCTAAGGCCAGGTTGGAGCAACCTGGGACGGTGGAAGGTGTCCCTGCCCACGGCAGGGATTGGAACAGGAGGATCTTTAAGCTCCCTTCCTATGGGCGGCAGGAGTTCAGGAACAATGCGCAGACAATCAAAGTGATGTCCAATTTATTATTTAAATGACTTTTATACGGTTTAGTTTGTTCTGGGCACGTGCTTACAACAAGGTGATTGGGTAGCTCGGTCTGTGCACGCGTCTCACGCCTTCGGTTTATTGGTTCTGAAGCTCTGTCCACGCTGCCTGAGATCATTTTTGCCACCCAAAGTCCCTCCTGTCGATCCGCCTTTGGGGATTTTCCCGGGATTTTGCAGGTGTCCCTTTACCTCTAGTTTTCCCACAGTTTTCAACTAGAAACACGTGATTTTCTTATACCTTAACTATAAACATGCAGTATTCACCCAGCTAACAAGTATAAGTTTGTAAGTATAAACACACCGAGTTTTCACACAGTTTGCAACTTTCAAATTTATGTGAAGCAGGCCTAGTGCTTCTCAAAAATATGGATTGTTCAAAATATGCCCATTTTCCTGCAAATGCTTTACAAATCCCCCGTCTTGTTTCGAACAATCCAT